AAAGTGTCTCACATGGCTCCGGGGGGTGAACAAAGGCCTCCTGTAGCGAATCGATGCGTTTTTTTAAAGAAAAATATCCATATTCAAAACGTAATAATCACTTTAATGTAGCTTGTCCTACACGGAAGCAGTTCCGGGTGGATGATGTATGAGGTCAGCTTTGCGTATGCGCTGCTCAGAAGTGACGAACGCAGAAGCGCAGGGGAGAGATCAAAACAAAACAACGGTCACGAATTAGAAGTATAAAACGAGGATTTGTAAAGAAGAATGTCGGAGGATTTCGATATAAGCCAAGAGGGGACTGGTTTGCAAAGGAAACTTTGCTTCGTTTGCTCCTGTAAACAAACGTTGGTTTTCACAAGACTTCATTTTTGGGTGAACTAACCCTTTAACTAAAATGCTATGCATGATAAATGCTTATAGTGGTGTCATAGTCAATGCTGACTATTTTGTTTCTCTTTGATTCAAGGATTTTGTTGTTGTACGCCTAGGATGGCTTGAGGGTGAGTAAATAATGGGCTAATTTTACTTCATTTTTGGGTGAACTATCCCTTTAAAATAAGAAGTGTATGCCACACATCATACAGATGACATGTTTCCTTGGGCTGATACTTATGATCAAGGTGGACATGACTTTTAATTCTCTCTCTCTCTCTCTCTCTCTCTTTTATTTACTTATGTATTTATTGTTTTCACAATTGATAGAAACAATTGCAGCTGGCGGTATAGAGGTATTGACAAGGTGCTTTATTCTGGCGAGGAAATTAAAAAAAAAAAATGCTTATCTGCCCATGCATGCTCCCCGTGGCAAATACAGTGGGTTTGATTAAATCTTCTTTGAGATTGAAAGAAATGTCATAAAAGAAACACAGAGGGAATTTAGAATGTAAGCTGACATTTCTCTACAATGCAACACAAAAGAGAAAAAAAATCATAGGGTTAAGACTATACAACAGACTTTCTGCTTTCTGGATCAAGAACAAAGGGATCTGCTTCTACTGTTTAAGTTGAACTTGAACTTTAAACTTAAATTGATGTTTTGACTTTTCATTTATCTTGACTGGAACAATTGTTCATTCACAGCAATGTTTTAAATTTTGGGGTAAATCAATTTAACTCTTACAAGTGCTTTGTTGTAATATCCTTTTGTAAAGATATTTGCTTTATGCTCTCTCTCTCTCTCTCTCTCTCTCTCCCCCTCCCTCCCTATCATAAATAGGCTACACTCTCTCCCTCCCTCCCTCTCATAAATACACACATAAATATATTATCTATATAAAATCACCACAATCCTTTATAGACCATAATCTTGTATGGATTAAAGAAAAGGTTGATAATTGAAACTTTACATTTTTACAGTGTGTGAAGCACATGCCATATGGAAAGCGATTTATGAGACGATTGCTATTAGAAAGCAATAGTCTCGAAGCATTCACAATACGAGCACATCCTTAGGTTAATAGATTTCTAATATAGCTTAAACAGCTGAGGGTCAAGGAAATATTTAGCGGGGTGTGATTCAATCTTTGACAGATGAGAGACATTAGGCTGTCTTTAATGAAGATAACAGCCTATAACAAGCCTGCGGTATCACCAACACGCGCAAGGTCATCACTGACATTTACATCAAACGGTGTCGCGTCTTACGTTCATGAACTGTTAAACGTTTGTGAGACAAACAGAAAGGCGCGGTTTAAAAACGACAATTCACTTCATTGTCGTGGCTAGGTGAAACAAACTGGAATTGCATGAAAGCAATAGCGTTTTGCTGCGTATAGATCGAGTCTGCTGTGAAGGTTCACTGCCACTCTCGCGCGACACTCAACGACGTCTGTATTTTCTTCCTGGATACTCCAAGATGATGGAATCGACATCTGCGGGTTATGCTGATTTCGTGCAGAACTGCATTTGTTGTACAGCATCATGGGGAGACAATAAAAGGGAATAGTTCCGGTTTGATTTCAGTATATTTTATTACCCTCAACGGACTATACTTCTTTCAACATGATAGATGAGCGAATAATTTGGAGGAACCTTTTCACGCCTACACCTGACGATCTGCCTAGACTTTTGCCAAATGGGTCAACCGAGGAACCGATTTGGACCACCACCGTTGCGCACACTGGACGTCCGGACTCCAGACTGCCGAGTTTATCCACATATCTTGGACTTTTTGTGTGTTTGCTGCTGTTTCTTTTGGCCCTAATGATTGTGATGCTTTACCGGATGAAACACACTATCGCCCCGTTACCGTCAGACGTGGAGAGCGCGGGACAAACAGAGATGTTTCCTGAGGTAGAGTTACGCGCTGTCTGATGATGTGGATCCAGACGCATCGCTATCGTTTTTTCATAATAATAGATCATTTAACTGTTGACTGCCGGCACTGGTTACACAGATGTCGACATTTCATATAGCCTACATAATTAAAAAAAAAAAAAAAAAAAAAGATGTAACATGCTGTGAAATTGTTTTGATCGCTGCATATATTACGTACGAAGAATTACCATTTAATTAATGAGAAACAATGAGCTAATGAGATGGTTCTGACCTACACATGGTGAGTGTTTGATGGTAAATGTATATTATTATTATTATTATTATTTTACATCGATATTTTACTTGCATATATGCCTTTACTAAAAAAAAAAAAAATACTGAAACGGTAGGAGAAAAGTTCCTGGATGACTACTTATGGGCATTCAATGGACATTTTACTGTCCCATGAAGCCACGGGATAGGATTTGTGAATGACAGTGAATCACACATCATGACTATAGCCCTATTCGCACGGGATTAGTATTATCTGGAGACCTTGTGTGATTTTTAAATTAACCCCCCACCTCTGAATTTCGTGTGGTGCATTCGCACGGGATAAGCGAAGCCTGTGATTTTACTCGAATTTACCGATTTATCTACCGGATACCCGGATGTCAAGGCTTTGAGAGTCCCTTTCTATGGTCCAGATGGATTAAAAAAAGAAAGAAAATAAATTAATATAGTTTCGTGCCCTGTGACATTTACATTTCACAAGGTTAAAATAGTATCTCAAGCTTTATGCTTGATTTATTTGTAACACATTAACCTCAAAACCTTTTCAGCCTTTTCTATCTACAAATTGTATGGTGTAGCGATATAACAGCACCCAAAATACTATCAAACACTCCAACGCAGCTCCATTCTTCGCGAAAGATGGATAAAAAAGCGCACAGGAAACAAAAACCTCGAAAAA